ATCATTTGATTTGTATTAATTAACATATTATATTATTAGTTATTTATTTTAAATATATTATGAAATAATGAAATGTTAAAGTTTATTAACTTTTTAACATGTCCTTTTTATCATCTTGAATTTTTCATCTGGTTTATCAGTTGTAATTAGTTTATTAGTTAGCTTATCAACTAGTTTCCCAAACATGGTCTTAGAGTATCGTTTCATCTATGGGTGTACGTGGGTTGGGTGCGGTTTACGGTATTTATATAACTCAACCTAATTATGACGGTTTGGAAAAATCTCAACCAACCAAATTTATTCAAAAATATAACCCAAGCCAACCCTTGCGGGTTAAGACGGGTTGATTGAGTTAACGAGTTAGTAGTTACATAAATTTGACAAGCAAATACTTTTATAGGACTTGAGTTTATAGGACCAAACTATAAAGCACCCTATCGAAAACTCTTACAATATTTAGGTTTATAGGACGTTTTTGGACGTTTCAACAAGTTTTTTAGATAGTTTTTTTTTTTTTTAATAAAGTGTCGTATTAGCTATTTTATAGAACAATTTTGAGAAGTATCCTATAAATTCACCTATCTATAGAATATTTTTTAAATCGTGTCGTATAAAATAAATAATACGGCACTTTATTTTGGAAAAGTGTTTTCTAAACTTGTTATGACTTCCAATGTTATAATGGATAAATTTTTCAAAGTACAGTGTTCTAATAAAAAATAGTTTGAAAGTACAATGATATAATAAAAAAAAATTACGAAAGTAGATTGCTATTTTGTGCATTTTGTCCATATTATTAATATATATATATATATATATATAATAGAATATTACATAGTCTAGACATAAATAAAATTTTATCAAAATTATATAGTAGTAACGGGTCCACGGATATGATTGAGTTAACTGAGTTTTACACAATTCCAACCTTCTTAATTGATTTAGCAATTTGAGGGTCGGCTTTAATTGGATTGTTAGTGACCTAGTTTGGACAGTTTAACTGTTTTTTATACACCCCATGAAGGTGCAGGAGATTTATGTCTTTTTCTTACAATTATACTCCTCATTATCATAATTTCCTTAATTAAGATTACCTTTGACTTCTGGACTAATATTAATAAGTAAATAAAAATAATAATGTCAAATTGTTAATTAGTCATTAATTACAAATTATTATTAATAATTAGTTGTTAATTAATATAAATATATTAATTATTAGGGAAAAGTCTAAAAAATCCAATGGACTTTAGTGTTTGAAATGATTAAGTCCTTGGACAATTTTTTGGAACAAATAAGTCTTTGGACATTCTAAAACATGTTAAATAACTCTTTAGACAATTTTTTGGAACAAATAAGTACTTGGACAATTTAAAACATGTTAAATAACTCATTGAACAATTTTTGGAACAAATAAGTCATTGGACAATCCAAAACATGTTAAATAACTTCTTGAACTTTTCTAAAACCTGTTGGATACATTCTTATGACTTGTACAACTAGTTAAAGTGGTAAAATAAT